CACCAGCTCACTGGCACTGCTGGAAACCGTGTCCAGCTCCTCATCCTGGGCCTTGACCTTCCTCTCCTCGCGGTGCCTCCACACACAGCTCTCATCCACCTGCACACCAGGAGCTCTGGGTCAGCCTGGCAGTGCTCACACAACGCCTCCCTCAGCTCCTCCTTCCCCTTTAACACCTCTTGCCCTCAAAAGGCAGGAAAATGCAAGCAGAGCCAAGTGTGCCAAGCCCACGAGTCAGGGGGGCACACAGCAATGTTCACATTGCAAACAGAGCTGGGAGAGCAGCCCTGGCAGAGGCAGGAACCAGAGTCTGTCTGCAGTGCAGACACTGCTTCCATTTCCATCTCAGCCCAGAGCCATCATCAGCAAGAAGCTCTTTCTGGGATTTTTCCCAGTGGGAATACACTGATAAGCAAGATGCAGAAAATAAACCTCCTGTAGCTCAAAGCAAATTACAAAAGCCAGCAGGAGCTGCTTGGGAAAAGCTGTACCTTAAACAAGAAGCTGAAGCCCATCATCAGATAGGAAGGTGGAAGGAAATTCTTTTTCCCTGAAAAACAAAGGGAGAGTCTCATGAGGAGGTTTAGCAGCCATGCTGCAGGATGTACTTCCAAAATTCATTTTTATTAGAGGCTTTAGGCTACCAAAAAATTACACTGGGGCTTTTTTATCTCTGGGATGAGAACAGGAGAGCTCAAAAGCAGCTGAGTTAATGAACTCCTGCCCAGGGCTCAGCTCAAACTGCTGCTGCAGCTGCCTGATACCCAGACTGAGCCATTCCCAACAGAGCTCTGGGAGAAGAGTGGGATCTGCTGCCCCTGCAGGACAGCCCAGCACCTTTGGGAACACAAAACAACATCCCACTGCTGCCCTGGGCCTCACCTCGGATCATGAAGCTGCCAGTAGTGAGATATTCTCCTGTGGGGGCAGTTTTAGAAACCTAAAACAAAACCACAAGAAACTGTAAAAACTCTCTGTGACAGAAGGTCAGCATGAGGTGACAACAGCACCAAGAGAAACAGTGGCTCAACAGGAGCTGAACTGGAACAGCTCTGCAGGACTCCAGATCCAAGGGGCTCTTCCTCTCCTTAGCAGGGAGTTTTCCTAAGGGATGTTTCAATCTACCAGCACTGAGTTTTAGGAGTCCTGGGTGAGTAACTCAGGAAACAAAGCCAGGATCTACTCAGGAGCATTCAGGGAGAAATTATGTGAAGGGTTGTGCAGGCTGCCCTAGGGCAGAAGCTGGATGGAGCTCCAGAATAAAGCAGGGATTTATCCAAAGCATCTCCTCCATGGATCCACCTTGGGCAGCACCAGAGCCCAGCCAGGGCTGCACCCAAGATCAACCAAAATGGCCCCAAAATGCACGGCCGGGCACGGGCTCTGTCCCTGGG